CTGACTCAAAGGAAGCTGGCTGCTGTGGATTTTATTTGGGAGCTCTAGTTACTTTTTGATGCACGTTTATCAGACATTTTGAATGTCATTAATTGTGCACAATTACAAACAAAAACCTAATTGAATACACAAAAGTTGAAGTTCTGACATTACAGTATGTAGAAAGGTCAATGTAAGGCACCAAATAGATCAGAGGTCAGCGACCTTTTCCACTCAAAGTTTAGCCTCTAACAAATAAAACTCTCCTAGAGCGGCAAAATGTGATTTTGCATAAAATGTACCATGATGAAAGCTAGTAAAATTAAACTAAAATGTATTTTCAGATTTTAGAACAAAGTAAAAAAAATATAGAATGAGGCGAGCCTTTTCTATAAATATGGAAAATGAAGACTTGTAGGTATTGTCATATTCAGATTTTGCATAGAAACTTACAGCAAAGCTGTGAAAAACATTTCCTTTTTGGCTTTGTAAGAGCCACAGTGGAGGAGCCAAAGAGCCACATGTGGCCCTCGAGCCACAGGTTGCAGACCCGTGAACTAGATGAATCACTGGATAGTTTCTTTGATTTCTTGGCTAAACTTGCTCTGCACAAAAGTTTCAAATTTTTATTGGTACAGCTATTTAGATCTTAATTGATTTGTATACCACCTCTTTTATAACTTACCAAGACTCAATAATGAGTTTTCTTCCTTTTGTTTTAGTTTGGCTTCTTTATGACGGAAGCCATCCTGCTCTTTTCGCCCCACGGCTCCCTCCTCAAGAGGTTTCCACACAAGACCAAAGGCCGTGTTCACTGGATCCTGCAGAGCCTCTGTGGCTCCTGTGCAGTTCTGGGCCTGGCTGCCATCTACTACAACAAATACCTGAACGGTAAAGCCCACTTCACCTCGTGGCACGGCCTGCTGGGACTCATCACGGTGTGTGTGGTGTGCGTGCAGTCCTTGGCAGCCGTGCCGCTCATCTACCACTCTCTGGCCAAAGGCTGGTCCCTCGCCAAGCTGAAGCGCTACCACGCCGCGTCGGGGCTCGTCACCTTCCTGCTGGGCTGCACCAGCCTGCTGCTCGGGCTCTGCTCCTCCTGGTTCACGGAGTCGGTCGGGGGGCACGCCTGGTACCTGGCTGCGATCTGCCCTGCTCTCAGCGCTCTGATCATAATGAACCAGGTCTCGAGTGCTTACGTTGCTAAAAAGCGGCTGCAGTCCTGAGGGATGAACAGAGCTAAGCTCACTGTGCTCCTTTAAAGACTGAAATATTATTTCTCAGGTCACAAACGTTCCTGCTTTTTTTAATGCATATTTTTGATGGTGATCTTTTGCATGCTTGAATGAATAAAAAGTCAAAATATGCAGAAGAGGAACCAGAGTCCTTTTTATACTTGCATAACAGTAAACGCTCTTAAAGCAACATGCGTTTTTCTTAGCATGTCAATTAGCGTGCACTGCGAGCAGAACAAATAATTCAAATAAAAAAAAATGGGAAAACAGAAACATGTACATCATTTTCGAGTATAAAACTACAAATAAGTGGGGAAAAATAAAAACATTTGTAATAACTGCAAGTATTTCTGTAACTGATTATTGCTGAATCTACAGGGGAATTGGTGAGATGGTTATTTAAAGGTGGAATACAAACTAATCTGCTCTCATTCAAATATACTGAAACTTTTTTTCTTGCACATTCTAACACTTATATATATATATATATGCACACGATGATGCACCACCGATCCTACTGACTGCACTTCATATAGAAAACTTTTAATTTAAATGAAATAAATTAATCTCTTAGAACTGTCCCTTTTAGTTGAGACCTTTTATATCATATGTTATGACAATAAAACTTACATAAATGCTTGTGATTCTTTTATTTATTTTTTAAATAAACAATGAAAATAAAGTCTATTTAATAATTGAATTTAGAAAACCTATTTTGCTCTCTGATAGGTCTCAGGTTGAAGAAATCTTTTTATCAGATGTATTCTCCCTCGGTTTACAACAGAAGGACTTTCAATATGGTTGGACAATCATTTCCATTTTAAACATAATATGCCAAACCTACGTTCATAAATAGATTTTTTTTTACCCAGTTTTATCCTAAATAAATTGTTAGCTTTCCTAGTACAGATTCTGCTTTTTAGCATAATCCTGCTTTTCAATTATATTTAGCTCCTGGCATATTAAGCGAGTTGTTTTTCACCCCCCCTACATTTTGAATATATTTTCACATTTTAATTTTTGTGTATTTTCTTCCCAACAATGTGAAGACAACTATACTGAAATGACTAATTGGTGGCAGGTTGCTATACCAGGAAGTAAGCCTTAGAATAAAACTGTTTAGAAATAATTCAGACTGTATTAGAAGATTATTTTATTTTTGAAATAACATTGATATCACATAGTTTTTATTTGATTTAGGCTGCATGTATGAAATTTTTACTGGATCAGCCATTAATGGGTCAACGTCAACAAAAAGTAACCAAAAAATGCAGTTACAAAAACCATATTTTACATTATAAATAAGAACATTTCAGACATCAAAATGAAGGACTCGATCGTCAAGTGGATTAATCAGAATTAGACGTCATGAAAAAAAACTATTCTGTAATAAAATATTCTATAAACTAGAGAAAGAGAAGAGAGGGGTCAGTATAATGTACCTCGCACAGTTAATATGAAGAAATGTTCCTTATGCAAAGTGCTAGCTCCACTTTTTAAAATCAGAAATCACAGGTTCTCGTGACACGCAGAAAAAAATAAAAATAAAAAATCCACATAATCTTTCCGACAGAACTGAAATAAAGCAGCCGGGAGGAGACAGAGGAACCAGCAGCCGACAGAAATCAAACAGTACTCAAACTGCGGGGGACGCGGGGTCCCGTACTTGAAAACTGAAATACGCAACTCCAACGGGGAATGATCTGTTGTCTCAGCTTATCCAGTGTTTCCTAAAGGCTAATAATCACTGCGCCTAGCCTAGTTTACCAGCAGAGGAAAGTGACGTTTCCTACATCTAAACGCCTCGAAGGCGACACAGAAACAGACGGATACAGAAAACGGGACCTAAACAGCCATAAAGCAACCGACACCTAGTGACACTCCTGACAGAAGCTACGCACACTGCATCTAACGGCGATCATCACATAACGGCACTGTCAGTTTGTAAGGCCACCGCATCGACTCACCTGCCTCGGCCACTCTCACCGGCAGTTTCACTGATATATATATATATATATCTGTATATATATATAAAAAAAGTCGTCCGGTTCAAATGAAGGCGGCGACACTGACTGAAGGTTTCGTTCACTCGAGCTGTGCAGATTCAATGCTTCCTCTAAGATAAAGGTGATGTTTGTTCTAACAGACCTCCTGTAAATAAAAGCCTCGGTTTAGGTTAAATGACTAGAACTGGTCAGAAATGTACACTCTGAAATGAATAGGCTTTAATAATGATTTGAAGCTGCTTGCGTTTTGGTCAGACTGATGATGGATACCTCTAATGATTTAATAAAAAAAAAAAAAAAAATATATATATATATATATATATATATATATATATATATATATATATATATATATATATATATATATATTATGGATTATCTCAAATCCACACATTATGTGAAAATTATGCATAGGCCCAGAGAAACCACACACTTCTTTTGTAAACCATCAACAAACTTAAAAATGGATGCTTGGCCAGATTTCCAAGAAGAGTAAAATTATTTTATATCAGATGAAGTAAAATTGGTTCAGATGCTGAAAAAACGACACCGGAACCACCAAAGCTCAGGTCTGCCATGAACTGAAAGTTGCTGGAACACCAGTGTTACTGTCAACACTGTACCCTGTTTAAAACCGCCAACCGTTGTTGAGAAGAGGCTTATCTAGAGGAGTAGAGACGAGCCTTTTCAAAACAAAGACCACCATAAACTGGTGGCGGCAGCTTCATGCTGTACGGATGCTTTGCTGCAAGTACGTCGGTGGCAATTTCAATATTTTTTAAACATCACCCGAAATGAAAAGCTAAAAAACGTCACCTTTTACAGCAGGATAAGGATCGCAAGCACAAATCAAAACTGGTTTTGGAATCAATAAAGAGGGCCAACATTAAATATCACTTAATGCTAACCAAATAATTTAACTTTAACAACTTTTGATAAGAAGTGTGGTCAAATATCCAGACAGAGTTATGACTGAAGCTCGCTTATGGCTGCAAAAAGCATGAGGTCAAAGTGAAACCTCCTACTGGATAATCAGAGAAAACCAGCAATAAACCTGTTAAGAGTTCATCATTTCATTATTAGCGCTCGCTGAAAAAACAGTTCAATTAAACCAAAAGAAAAATAAAAAAGTCTGAAATATGTATTGCGTCCATGTCGATGAGGAGTGCAAGTGAACATCTGACCAGTACTGAAAACAAATTACTGGGCAACTCATGCATAATCCACAACTAAAAGGTAAAGGTGAACGAGTTAGTAACGTTACTCCTTGGTTTGAGCTTCATTTGGCTTTCAAATTTGCTGCTTGTTCTCACAATGCCAGCTGTCTGACACATAAAAACAATTAGCTAACTATGAATTTCAAAACTCAATACCGTTTTGGGCTGATAAAGGGGAAAAAAAAATTAAATTAAAACAACAAAGAAAGAGTTTACACAGTACAAATCCATGTCCCAGTCCCTGTGCTGTTGACAACATGAAAGTACATTCGTTTCAGATTGGAGGGAAACAAAGAAAATCCTAAATATTTCATTTTTATCCTCGCTGATCAAAGCCGGGGTGAGCTTGTCATTATGGTCACTGTTGTGATAAACAATCGCTCTATGACCGAAATCTACACACTGCACGGTATCGACTTGCAATATAAACAATGATAAAGACTGTTATTTACAAAGTATCCACATGTCCAATAACAGCGTCACAAGTATCTTTTAAACAGGGGGTTGCTACAATGTCTATCAAACTGCTAAAGACTAAAATATGCCTAAAATTTCTGCTTTTCAAGGTAACCTTTATAGTGTATACACACTGGATTGTGTACTTTGTGACAAACGCCAAGATCCCTTTATCTACAGAGGAAATGGAGAACACTAGTGTTCAGCAGCAGAGTGTTCAACCTGTCCACACTCGACTGTTTGACAACAATTCATCGTGAGAAAAGCCAACAGGAAGCAGCTTTCGTCACGCGTTTAAAATGTTGGGAACGAAAACTGTAAAAATGTAGCAGAGGCTGTGGGAGCCAACGCCAGATAAGATTCGACTGGTCCTCGTTTGACGGATCTGTTCCCGACGCTCCCGCTGAACAGGACGCAGACATTCAGCATAAGGATTTTGTTGCACTTTGTAGGATTTTACGGTCCGATTCTCGTATTTCGAGACAAAGATCAGTGTGTGTGTCTGTGTGTGTTTGACCGATGAAGAGCATTAGAAATGGGAATTACTCATCCCTCGTGAACTTCTTCGCATTTCGTCACATTGCAACCACGCATTTGATGCGTTTTGTTGGGACTCTGTGTTTCGCACCAGCATAATGTGGTGGATGATCAAGAAGTGGAAGGAAAATAATGCAGGTTTAAATGTTGTCCTAGTGAAAATCTGAAAAGTGTGGCAGCTCCCCTTCTTTCTGACACCATTAAATAAAATCCAGTACAGCTAAATGTCTTCAGAAGAAACCTAATTGGTAAATACAGCGTGGAATTTAATCAGACTGTAAATCCAGCTTATGATTAGTAAAGAAAAAACACAGCAGACAGGTCAGAGGGAAAAGGTGTGAACTTTAAATCAGGGCTGTGAGATGACAGCCAAAGATTTCAACATTTTTAGCAAAAAGAGGGACTCTTCGGAACTCTGGAGGAGCTGGAGACATCCACTACTCAGTTAGGGTAATCTGTTGACAGGACTCCACTCCAATGAAAGGCTGGCAAGAACAGGCAGAAAGAAAACAATAAAAAGACCTGAAGGCGCCACAGCAACTATGTGGAAAAAGGTGCTCTGATCAGACGACATTACAAAATGTTATTTAAGGCAGAAAACACCCTAAACAGACCATCCTCAAAGTGAAACATGACAGTGGCAGCATCATGCTGAGGGGATGATTTTTAATCAAAAGACAGGGAAGTTGATCCAAGTTGATTTGAAGATGGATGGAGCTAAATACAGGCCAAAAAGTTATAATGGAATGATTTAAATCAAATCATAGAGGCCTAGGCCTAGTCAAAGTCCAGACATAAATCCAATTGGGAATGTTCAACGTCCATCCATTCTGATGAAACTTGAGCTATTTTGAAAGATGGAAAAATGGGCAAAAACTTATGCATTTGGTATGAAAAACTGTCAAAGAAATCGCAGCTGTAATTGCACATAAAGGTGGAAATACTAAGTATTAACTCTGAGGGAGCTGGACAGAAATGCATACCACACTTCAAAAGGTTTTTATTTGTGAAAACAAATTCACGTTTTAGTTTCCTTCGACTTCACAATTATGCACACGGGTGTGTCTATTGTATAGAATCGCAATGAAATACACTGAGGTGTGTGACTGGTACATGACAAAGTGTGAAAGGCTGTAAGGGATACGAAAACTTCTGCAAGGCACCGAGTAAAACAGAACCCGTGTGACCTGCTTATTTCAAAGAACTGGCTCAGAAGTAGCCAACTTTATGTCTGAGGAGTAACTTATTCACATTTAACCCACTTTAGATGTAAACTCAGAGCTGAGTTTCACATTTCCTCTTCTTGGTCACATTTGGATTCTGAATGCACTTTCAAACCATGATGGATGTAATCATCACAGAATTATTCCAGGCCTTTTGCCTCTGAGTTTTATCGCTTTTGTGTAATAATTCCCATTTCTAATGTATTTTGATTCTTTTCTGACTGTAAAACTGTTTGAAAACAAACAAACAAAAGAAAACCTGTAGTGGGACTTTCTGAAGCCCTACTGTCCCGTCACCTCTATGACGTCATCATCAGAGCTGTCCCCGCCGTTCACCGCGCTCGGGTGTCTGTCCGGCTGCGTCAGCGCGGCGCCCAGGAGGCTGGAGGTGGGGTTGGTAAAATGAGAGAGGAATCTGGGCGTCGCAGAGTTGGAGTTGGGCACGGAGAAGCCCCCCGACCCCGAGAGCAAAGGGCCGGGGAACATTCTTGGTGAGGAGAGCAGTGGCTGACTGTAGCTGAGAGGGAAACCTGAAGAAAGCAGGCCGGCCATGTTGGGGTTCATCAAGTACGGAGGCAAAGTGCCAGACGGGAGGGAGGAGGAGGTTGCCGTCGACGACATGGGAATGGTGGAGGAGGCGGAAGAGAAAGCCGAGGACGAGGGAGGGAGGTGTCCGTTCCCCGCGACCGGCTGCCTCAGGAGGTCCGAGCTCACCGAGGGGAACATGGACTGCAGGTCGGCCAGCGTTTGTCCCGGAGATTGGAGGAACGAAGATCCTCCTCCTGGCATTAGAAGCGGCTGACTCACGTGGCCCAGGCTCCCCAGGTTCAGACCCACCGGTGGGAAACTGAGCCCGCCGGAGTTCACCGACAATCCGGGGAAATGAGCCGGGACCGAGGTGTGCTTTCCTCCCGTCTGCGCGTCGTCCTGGCCGCCGTCACGCTTCCGCTTGCCGCCGCGCTGCGCCTCCGCGGCTGAACTCAGCAGGTCGTTGCCGAGCTGTCGGCTCAGATCGCCGGTCTGAGAGCCGCCCTGGTCCCCCGCCGTCGCGGACGGCAAATCCAGAAGCGACGACGATTCATTCGCCCTGCCGGCAGTGGCGCTGCCTGTGGACGACGCGTAATGGCTGAGCTCCTGGAAAAAATCCGAGCTCAGGGGAGACGGGGGCCGCTGGTCGGCGGAGGGGGAGCGCCGCGGCTGGTCGACTGGAGACGAGCAGCCGTTGCTCACTGGGTGGATCAGGGAGGCTTGGGTGTCTGCTGAAGAGATAGAGATGATATTGAAGAAGATGGTAGTAACCCTAGTTCACTTTGAAAAAAAAAAAAATCAGATAATGGCAGGAAATCACATATTAATATAAATGACGTATAACTTGATAGTGCCTACAAGATCCTTCTTCAAAGCAGAAACAGAGACATCTGATTAGCTACTGCATTGTTGGTTCCCCTGCAATATAAACAATCTCCAACTTCTCAGGTAGCTTTTATTTTAACACAGAGAAACAGAATATCTGTTAGAAATCCCCCCCACCCCAAAAAAACGCATCCATGAAAATAATAAAGAAGCCGCTTAGTGAAACAAAGATCACTTCCAAACAAAACGCCACTTATAACTTTGCTTTGTTGAGCTGCGCAGCGGTAAGGGGTTTATTGTCTTGTAGGAACATTAGCAGCATCTTCCACAACCGATGTTAAAGAAAAACGTGGAGAAAGTGTTTCCATGGAGGAGTGTGTTTTACACACACAGCTTGTAGTCAGAAGTATTTGTGCTCCACATGATGAGCACCAGACCAATTCAGAATCCTGGTTGTTTGAAGGGGATTTAATTATTACTATTTTACTCAGCGACACATAACCTTTTTTTTTTTTACCTTTTATGTAAAGTATTTGTTCTAGAGTTTTGATGATATTCTGCCTCTGTAGAGCAAATAAAATCACCCTAAAAAGATTTGCATTGAATTAAAGATTAATTTTCCATTCCAGGTGAGTAAACTTACAAAATGAGCAGGGGATCATTACTCATTACCCCCACGCTGCACGATTAAAACTTTAATACAGGCTTTACTTGATGTACGTGGCAAGGAAAGAGCTTTACGATTACAGCAACGTGTGTAGTATAATCCCTTCAGACAATTAAAAAAGCAAAGTGATGTGGAAGAAGTCAATGAAACAGCAAAACGTTTTGCACCTCTAGATGGAGCAGACGCTCCAGCTGCCGGTCGGCTGATCTTTCCAGATCGAATAGCAAAAATCCTTCCGTCATTCGTCCTGATGTAAGTACCTGTATTAGGGAAAATTAAACGACTGAAAAGGTTCGCCAAGATGTTCTGTTTGAAGAGGTCTCTTGATGAAGATGTTACCTTTCGATCCTCTAATGACGTGGATGCTCTCTCCTGCGCTGATGTGAGCCTGAACGTCTGTGGAGCTGTTTGCTCCTGGGATTACAATGTCTGCGGATCCGGGTGAAAGTTGTACGTTATAATCTGATTACACTTCAAAAGCTCGTTAAACATTTTACTGCTGGTAACGTCTGAAACACTTGAATTGCTACAAATCTCTTATTTGCAGTAGCTATTTGTTAGATACCTGTTGTGGTGACAATCCTTTGCACATAAACTCCTGCTTTCTGCAGGAAGTTGAGAGGAAGGCTGCCGGCAGAGCTGGAGCCGGCCATTCCCATGCCCACCTGCCGAGGCATCATCGGGATCGGGGTCGACTGGATGGGCCTGACACTCGCGACTGGCTTGTCGTCCGGCCGCGTTATGTGGCGCCTGGAGAGACAAACACAAACGTGAGCTGCAGTTCCAATAGTAAATCACGGGCGATTTTTCTGCCAAAATCCAAGAGCACACATTTTCATTTTGAAAACAGGACTTCATGTCTTTCTTCTCAAAACTTGTAATGCTTGTACTCAAAACTTCTCCTCACGCTCACACTCTCTGCTCACTTTTGGAAACGCCTGTTGGCACAGTCGCCTGGCAACCTCTCTGCCAATAAAATGAAAGTGTTGCACTGGGTGCGTTTGTTTCCTTCTAGAGGGCGTGCCTGTGTGGCTACTATCGATTGCAGCAACCTGCGCCCTCCACTGGATGTAGGAAGAAACGACGACGTCACCTTTCTGCTCAGTGCACTAAACATCCACCAGCAGTGTGCTACTGATCACCAACACCTACTGGCTCGGGGAGGAGTTTGTTCACCCAACCAACTCCCTGCATCCAGTGGGTGGCGCAGGTTGCTGCAATCTATCACTATTGTGATAACAAGTGTAAAGATTAACGGGTTACAGACGTAAAGATCTAAAAATAAAGCAATAATCAACTGAAAACGGTGAAGCCTACCAGCCGCGTTGGTTAAACGCTGCGATGCTCGCCAGCGAGTGTTCAGTTGTTGGGTAGTAGGGCGCGTACGACGGGCGGGAGTACGGCACAGAGGCTCGCTTCTCGTCCTCGTAGCTCTTTTTTGCAGCTCTCTTCTCTGCTTTGGTCAGTTTTGACTCCTTGCGGTCCATGAGCAGCGACTCATGGTGGAAAGGTGGCTAAAGGGACACATCGGACAGAAAAAGATGGACTTCAGCTCCACAGGAAAGACATCAGGGATATTTGGAGACTTCAGATTACTTACTTATTCACCACCACAAAACATAAAATCTTTTCATGTTAGATTCTACTGGATATACTGGAGAAATGTGTGTTTTTTCATGTTGTGGGCTCTTACAAACCATTTCTTATTTGGTAGCCGAATTAAACTAAAAAAATGCGACTAAAGACGCAAGGTGCTTCACAGAAAACATGCGGTGAAGCAAAATGAAAGCATTATCAGAACTTACAAATAAAAAAAAATGTTATAAGTAAATTTTCTCTCCATAAAAACAGGAAAAACACTAAAAATAAAGTTATATTTAAACGATTCATTATTAAAACAAATGTGTTTCATTTGAATTTAATGTGATAATTACAGAGCAGCGCAGAGTTGTGAAGTAGAAGAAATTTGTCTAAAAAAAAAAATCTGAAAAGCGATTCAATACTTTCACAGCTCTCTGAGTTTCTACCAGCCTCGTACATCTAGAGACTGACTCGTTTTGACAGAACAGCAACATAATTCTGCCAGCGACGTTTCAGCACAGACAGATTCGGGGTTGGACAATTACTGGATTGTTTTGCTGTTATTGATAAGCTCAAATATTTTAAATCTGTAACTGTAAACTTCTAAATTTCTGGATTTAATTACAGAGCTAATTATAAGAACAGTTGGTATTTATTACCTCAATCCTAAAAGTAACAAAAAGTCACAGACTTAACACTCTACTTCAGGGTTGGGCATTTAGTTGAATTGAGGAGTTTTATTTAATGAGACCATCAAAACACAGATGCTTCGTTTCCTTGAACGAAAACAAGAGCTGACTGACTTTGTTACTGGACTTTAACATTCCAGTAAATTTTGCAGACCTGAAAATGTTTATTCAGTTTGGAGATGTTTTAGACATCTGTGTGTTTTTGCACTCCTCAAACAAAGAGAGACGCATCAACCCAGCCTGTCGGGATCTGAGCCCCTTGGCTCATTCTGCAGCAAAACACCCAAACCTCCTGTTACGCTTGAAGAGCAACAAATCTAGAAGCATGCCTGAAGCTTCTGAAGTTGTTACACGGAGTAACGCCTTTCAAGTAACTCTACCTTGGTGATGAGGTTCGGGTAAAGCTCACAAGCTCGATATATCACCGACTCCAACTCTCTCTGCGATTCCAGTGAGATCCTCTCAGCCTCAGGCTCCTCTTCTACAAAGTGCAGCAGCGACTCAACTTCCTTACGGGTGAAGTTCAGCACTGGGTTCAAGTCGTCAACCACCCGGTCTTTAAAAGAGAAAGATAAGGGAGTTCTGTTTCAGAAAACATTGGCAACTTTCTAAGAAGGACGAAAGCTGCGAATGAGTTAATATCCATCAAAAAAAAAAAAAAAAAAAAAAGGGAGGCTCTTACCCGACATGCCCTGTTTGGAGACCTGCCTGTCATAGATCTTCTTCTCCAGGGTGAAGTCACAGACCAGGCGGTAGATGTAGCAAGGCTTCCTCTGGCCGTAGCGGTACACGCGACACACCGCCTGGGCGTCGTGACACGGGTTCCACGACGCGTCGAAGACGACAACACGGCTGGCCCCGATCAGATTCACCCCCAAACAGCCCGCTCTGCGGGAAGACGACGACGTTTAGCGCAGAGAAGAAGCACGAGGTCCGGCTGCGAGACGAAGCGGCCTACCGTGTAGAAAGCAGGAACAGCCACGCCGCTTTGTTCTCTGGGTCGTTAAACTGATTGATGAGACGTTCTCTCTCTGACGCAGATGTACTCCCGTCCAGTCCTGCAGACACACATCAGCGCTGAAACAACTGGACAAGCTAGGTAACTCAGAAAGCATTGACAGAGATGAAATATTGAAAAAGAAAAAAAAAAAATCACTTGCTATGTAAATAAAAAGTTATCAGAGATGAAGCAAAAATGTGAAAAAAGTTGATTTTAGTGCAAAACACTTTATGATTAGCGACTGGTTTGGGGGGGAAAAAAGGCAAAAGTCGGACAACTTACTGTAGTAGTTGAGGTTGCGAACCCAGTTTTGGTTTTGGCTGTCGCTGGGGGCGATGCCGGGGGGCATGGGTCTCTTTGAAAGGAAATCCTCGATGACTGTCAGAGTGTTTAAACTTTGGCTGTTGGACACGATAAAAATCCATCAGAACATTTACTGAGCTCAGAGGCGCAGCCAAGAAAACAGGCGTCATATTATTTAAGCTGCATGCAACGAATGACTGGCTGGATCTGTATGCTCCAAAAACGGGGGCGAGCTGAAGAAATGTTGAATTGCATATTTTAAAAGTTAAAATCCTGAACAATCGTCTTCTAAACCTTTTCCAACTTATCATGAAGCAGGATTTAGTTGTTTTTTTGTGGCTTTTTTATTGTTTTCCTCTTAAAAGACGGTGATTTGGGCATCTTGCTCAAGTATTCTTTTCATCCACTAAACTTTTCCACGTTTTGTCACATTACAATCAGAAACTTTGGTGTATTTTAGAGAGATTTTAATGTGATAAACTGACGCTAAAAAGTGGATAATTGTGGAAAAAATACTTAGTCTTTTAGGATTCGTCTTTAACAGCGTTTTACATTAAAATCATAAATCTTTTGCCTATTTTTCTTAGCAGAACAGCTCAAGATCCGGTCAGGCTGGAAGGAGAACGTGTGTGTGTGATTGATTTTCAAGTTTCTCTACAGATTCTTGAATGAATTTAGATCTGTCCTTTTTGTTTTTGCTGAAGTCGTTTCTTAACTAACATCTTCACAGGACAGATGTATTTATACAGATTTCTGAAGGCAACTGGCTGGACTGGATTTTCATTCGGGGTATTAGAGTAAAGAGGGTAGTGAGAACTGTTTATATGCCGAATGTTTTAAGAGAACATCATATTTTATTGTTTTAGATGTAAAACAGGAGTAACAGAAAAGCTTTTTCACACTTTTTCAGATCTGAAATTGATTAAAAATCAAATCGTTACTTTTCCTGCACAGTAACCCTGTCACACTCCGCCTTCTGTCCAAGAAAAGTGTAATAAATACATAAATGTCTTTTTTCTCACTCATGCAGGACAGAAGACTTACCTGAAGACCAAAATCTTGTCTCTTCTTCTGACGCTTTCTTCAATCAAGTGGAAGAGCAGAACAATCTTAGCTGAGTTTTCCAAAACTCCCGTCCGGTAGTTTGACATGATGTCCTTTGCCTGAGAAAGAATTAAGCGCAGAAAGTTGGCTGGATTTCCCTGGTATTTGCTTTGCTTTAGCTGCATCTAAATGCCGGGCTTGGCCCTAACCTACCCATTCATATGTGATGACTTGATTGGCTCTTTCTTGAGACGGATTGAGCGGCGGCATGCTGTTGTTGCCTTTGCTCGAGTCGGCCACTTTGGTCTTCAGGCCGGCGCAGGGAGCAGGGCAGCGCGGGTTGCTGGCCGAGGTGATGTCATCCAGGTCCAGGTCCTGCTCATTGGCCTGGTTCTCCTTCATCAGGGCTTCGTAGAGGACGTCGGGGTGATTCCAGATCTGTCCAGAAAACCACAGGTTAAAGCTTTGCCGAGGAACTTTGCGACACGGAGGCGGCTCTCAAAACGAGACAAAAGCAGTCTGACCTTGCAGCAGACGCAAAAAGCTTTAAGTGGGTTAAGGCCGAGCCAGCCGCTGTTCCCTGCCTCTCGGAAGCGCTTCATGAACTCGGTGTACAGCGCCTTCTGAATGGGAGAGAGCCGCACCAGGATCACAAACTCCTCCTTATTCGGGAGGTGGTGCCTCAGCACGTCATGGCCTCGCCTGCCAAGGACAAAAGCGACGCAGAAAACAATGGCAACGCAGATGTAATAAGAGATACCCTTCGGTGAAGCGTTTCCAAGCGAGAAAGGCTCACCTCTGAACGAAGCCCTCCAACAAGCTGTGCAGCACGTGACTGCGGTAGCGCATCAAGCGGACGTCTTGGGGCGTGCTGTCCACGCACTGACCGTTCAAGATGGGACGCTCGAACATGTTGCTGAACTCCTGGCGCGTGCCCAGAAAGTCGGGCCTGACGAAGTCCACCATGCACCAGTACTCTATGAGGTTGTTCTGCAGCGGGTACCCCGTCAGAACCACCCTGCGCCTGGAGCGGATGTTCTTCAAGGCCTGCGACGTGCTGGCGTGGTAGTTCTTAATGCGGTGGCCCTCGTCGCAGATCACCACGTCGGGACCGGGCCGCGATATCGACTTTTCGATCCCTGGTGGATGAGGCAGTGCGATTATTAACAAGCGCCGTCTAATTCATTCATCCTCCTTGAACTGCTCCGTGTTTTGTTACGTTGCAACCACAAACTTCAGCCGTTTCATTTGAATTTTATGTGATAAAACAAGAAGTAGCATTCATGTGCATTCAGTTCCCTTTACTCTGATGCTCCTAAATGAAATCCCGTTCACCAAACTGATCCCAAAATTCACCTTCGTAATACTGTGGAGTGAAAAGTGTTTGAATCCTTCCTGATTTTTTATTTTTATGGCATGTCTAAGTGTTTCAGAACATCAAACCAATTTTAATATTAGTCAAAGTAACAAAAGTAAAATAAAAAATAAATCAGTGTTTAAATGAAGGTGTTTATTGTTAAGGGAGAAAACAATCCAAACCTTCAGGACCCTGTGTGAAAAAGTCATAGCCCCCTAAACCTAATTACCTCTTGGGCAAATGCTATCGGTCAATATCGATAATGATTGATTATTTTTGTGGTTGTTAAATATTGCCAAACTGGTGATGTGACTTTTACCGTTTTATCCAGGCCGTTTAAACTGTCATGAGGCATGAATCCTGAAATTGCTGCTGCTCAAGTTGCTCAACAGGTCGTTGCTAGGTAACCAAAGAGTGAGCGAGTTAATTGATGCCATCAGTCTTGCTTAGCTGGGTTAGCTTGAGCAGCTAACGTCTTTCCTCTGGGTGTCATTTTCAGCCTTCGGATGTCTACAAATGGTGCACGACTAGTACAAGCCGCTGTATATTTTCACACATTACTTATCGCTATGGTTACCTTTCATGAGCTCTTGTTGCCTGTCCTCTTCGTCCAGGTCAATAATAACCGGCCCAGCTGGTTTTTTTGTTTTCCTCTTCTTCCCCATCACAAAGCTCTTCTTCATGGACAGCAGGCGGTACATCTCATAGCCCATCAACAACACACCTCCGTCTCTGGACCACTCCTCCACAACCTTGGCCCTGGCCACCGTGGTTCTGAGGGTCACACGGTCAGAACGATCAATGGGTAAAAAATATTTCAACGTAAACGGTCACAGCGGCCGCCACGTTACGTACTTGTGCTCATCGTTGAGGATGTGAACTTTGAACGTGCGGCCAGTGACAAACGCGGGGTCGGTGTCAGGAGGAAGTGCCTCCTGGGGTGGGAGCCAGAGGTTAAACTCTGTCAGCCAGTTCTGGAGCGTGTTCACCTGGGGTGCGGAGAAATACAAGCATTGAGAGGTGAAACTCAGGAGACGCAAGAATCCAGAACGTGATGTTTCAAAATATGTTCATCACTTACAGGGACGATAGCCAGAACAGTGTGGGCCTCCGTGTTCTTCAGAAGGATGTCGATGAAGGAAATGACCTGCAGCGTTTTGCCCAAGCCCATGCTGTGAGCGAGGATGCAGCCGAAGCCACTGCTGGTCTTGTACCGGTCCAAAGACTCGATAAGGTTATCGTAGAGAAACCGGATTCCCCCAATCTTAAAGGAAAGGGAAAAAAAATGAGGCTTACCACACACTTCCTGCGAGTTACACGTTAAGCTTTACGTGAAGAAGAGTAGAAAGAGGTCGCAGTCGTACTTGGTGAGGTTTAACAGCTCGGGCCAGCTGCGGGGCGAGGTAAACGTCTTTCTCCTCCGGAGGGTGGTTGATGTTCACCAGCACTCGACCCTGGGCGTCAGGCAAGTTGAGCGCATCGTTTATGTGAGCGCCGCTGCTCTCCTCCGAGCCGTGGGCGGCGTCGGCTTCCTCGTCAGCCGACTCGCTGCTGATCTGCAGGGTGTCTTCGTCCCCCGAACTGAGCTCAATTATATCTGCAACACCATTGAGGAAATAAACAACTGTTGGTGCGTAATCAAATCCCACTCGAAGGGTGGGCGATATGGACTCTGAATTCATTGTGATAATGATAAAAATGATGACAACATCCAGTTATTACTTCTTTTTAACATTCCAATTGAAAAAAAAAAACAGGCTTCTTCAAGACGCTGCTCAGTTAAAAGAAGTGTGATTTATGTCACTGAGCTTTCCACAGTGACTGCATTTAATAATAGTTACAAATTTACTGATGTTTATTGATGCTCTCATGAAACGGTGGAGAAAATAGTAATAACATTTCCGATAATACAGTTAATTTGGATTTTCAGTTAACATCATTAATTGATATTTATCGAGGCAACGATAAATCAAAACTCTTATCATGGTTATAAAGTAGTCATACTGCTTGAAACTGGCTAGAGCTGTGCTATGTACTCACCATCTCCGATGGCGAGGGCGGGCAAATTTATATCCGCTTTCTCATCTTCCTCACCGCTACTATCCAGACAGATCACATCCTGTTTACCCTGGAGAGCAGGAACCAACTGAGATACTTCTGCTAATAAAGCTGCCGTCTCCACTGTTGCAAAAATTGGAAGAAAACAGGAGATTTACAATTAAAATATCGCAGGACAATCATTAATAATTTCTTGATCACAAACACTCACCCAGTTGAGCGTCCGCGAGAGACGGGGCCTGCGTAGGAAAGTCCTTCCTCTGCTGCTCCAGTCGTTTCCGCCTCTCCATCTCCTCCTGCTGAGCTGCTTTGGTTCCAGCCTCCAGCTGGTCCTCTTGCAGCATCTTTCTGTGAGCAGAAGTAAAAAGAAGCAAACCTGCTCGTGCAATGAAAAATGCATTAACACGGCTCACCTCAACGTAAAACACACATACATACAGACATACCTGATGTTCTTCCTCATGTGAGCTGGCTTGGCTGGCTTTGGAGGTTTGGAGCTTTTTGAAGATTTGAGTGATTTTGTTAATTTAGAGGCTTTGTCCTTCTTTGTTTTTCTAGACGAGGCTTTGCTCTCACTCGAGTTCCCCGCGCCGGTCGGAAGCTGAGATCGAGAGGCGGGTCTAGAGGACGGCCGGGAAGGAGGCTCTGAGGAAGGCTCTCCAGAGGTAGTTGAGTTGGAGTCCCTGCCGTCCCCATCGGCTCGACTCTGGGCACTTGCAGGTCGCTCTTCAACGAGAAAAGACTTATTACAGTTAGTAACGCCCAACTATCCAAGTCTGCGTGTTGTATATTCAGACAAAAAGACGGTTAAATTAAAACGCATTGCTTTGTTTCAAGGGAATTAACGTTGCACAGTTTTAATCATTTTGAGGGTTTGACTTTGATTAGGCCATTGCAACACAAAGTCCTTTTTTAAATACAGTTTGATTAAGAGCTATGTTAATGAGTTATGGATGAATATAAAATATCGTCACTCACCAAGTCCATCATCTTCGTCGTCTCCATCATTTTCCTCCTCGTCTTCCTCCAGGTCTTCTTCATCATCATCCTCCTCCTCATTTTCCATACACTCCTCTTCGCTGTCAATGCTGGCCTCCAGGTCACTTTCTGAAATTGCCTCTTCAGACATGTTGTCTTCCAGGGCAGTCAAAGTATTACCTACATGCCTTCATCAGGAACTTAAGAGAAAAAAAGTCTCACCTTTCTGTCTCAGTTATATGCATCTAAAAGACATTTGTGAATATTAAGCTGGCATCTGAAAACATTCAAAGTAAGTGACTGACCAGTAAGGAGCTAAAAACTTTATGTTCTCAGAGCTTGAAGATTGCATACTTTACAAATTGTTGAACATAAACAAACCTTGGTCACAAACATTTTAATTTGTGCAACTATTTTCCAGCCTAACAGGAAGAAAATGGAACGCTGTCAAAGTCTGATAAGAATATTTAAAGTAACATTTACAATTATGTTAAAAATAAATTCAAAATAAGATTTCTGACAATTTTACTGTAAAATGATGGCCAAGCTGTAAGAAGTGTGTTGGGTTTATTTTTATGAAGTATTTACTAGAGTTGGGTGATGCCAAACACAACACAATTACAGACGTTTGCGGTGTAAATACCAGATTAGGTTTCTCCAATAAATTACCTGGAGGTTTTTCTAGACTCATTCACTTATTCATTGTTCCAGAAAGCTACTTCCCCCCCACCTAATTCACGTCATCTCCAGAGCTGATTGGGTATGTAGGATTCCTATCTAAGGTACACAGGATTAGAAAATATTATCTTAATTTCAAATGAGCAAAGTCTGAAACTACACTACTTTTGTTCTGGAATCTACTCATTGCTCATTACTCATCATCACAAGTCTTATTTCGTGCCACTAAATGCAAACGGCTATTGTCCAATCAACTGATACTGAGAGTTTGTTTTGCATAAACAAACAAAACATTCATCAGAAAAAATCCAGAAATGGATGAGTGAAACACAGGAACTGTAAATAAAAATGGCTCAATAAATATTGTGTAACTTTATTCTATCATTTCCATCGATTCGTCATTCTGATGAACACTCGTTTTATTTTATCTCGGTGTTTGAACAGGCTTAGCAATAATAAAAACTATTTAATCATTTATCCAAATAAAACATCTTCGCCGACTACTACAAGTAGGCAGGGCCTGATATGAGGTTCTATGGTCTCCTTCAGTAAAAATACCACAGTTCTATGACATAACAACATTAGCACAACATAAACAACATTAAAACAACACGATTTTATCAATTTTGTTTAAAACAGGAGGGCAACGACTGTTCCTATTCAAGTCAAAACAACAGAGCTTTATAACTGTTACAGCTGTAATTTTGATACATGGACTTAAAAAATGTTTCATTAAAAAACAGCTACATTGAGCATTTATTTTTCACATTTGTATTGCTTTAAATATATTTGCCATTCTGATCTTTATAGACTAACAAAAGCTAACTGGTATGATTAGAAATATTTAAAAAAAAACAACAACATACTTTTCATTTGATTTTTGATGGATGTACATTATCCTTAAATTATGTGTTTAAATACTGCATGTCTGATTTTTTAGCTAACAACCCAAATTTTAGCATTGTTTCAAATGTCTCTTTATGTTATTTTAAATGAACTTGTTTAAAACATAAAACACAATTCTGGTCCTTTTTCTCAGTGGGGCCACTACACTAAGCCCCACTGCCTCAGAGCTAAATTAGTAACCTACCAGTTAACATTAAACCACCTCTGCTGTGTTGTATTATTATTATTGTGCAAAAAACAAACTATAGGCAATTGATTCGCTATTCAACGAGGAACACCGCGGCGTCCAGACATATGGCGCTTTCTCAAGCTAAATTAAATCTCTATGTTCGCTAATTACTAAACAACAAAGGTATTTTCAGCCGCTCGAAAACAGTTAACCTCTTCGTGTGCTGGAGAAGCAATGTTTTATTGAACACTGAGCTACAACAAGCGATACATTATCCCACTAATAGTGATGTCCAGTTGGATGTCCCTGCTAGACAATGATTTGATAAATGTGTGGGTGTAACGTAGCTAAAGCTAAGCTAAAACACAGCGAGGCTAACACGCTCGGCTAATTGATGCGCATCAGCTGCCCTCAAATCACTCAGGTGTAGTTAGAGCTCACCTTCTGTGCGCTCTGTCATTCAGGTAGTCAGCCTGCTAGTAGATGCAACCAACATTCAGTCGAAAAGTACAGTAATTGTGTAAATGAAACGATAAACGTTGCTAATTTCCATTTTTCCCAGTGTGACCATAAATACTGCCCCCGAAAACGGAACTCCAACGAAGGTTCCTGCGCCCTACTTTCAGTGAAGATGGAGCAAGATGCAGATTTTTACATTTATATCACAAATTACACTTCCGACAACGCTTGTAAATATCAAAAGAAGCAATCAAGTTGACGAGTGTGTTTATACGCTCTTACATTTTCTAAGTTGATAAAAGAAGGGACGTTATGTAAACTTAATTTAGGAAAAAATAAGAGGACAGTGAAAAAACATTTACTTCACTGTTAATGCTTAATGGAAAAATATTTATTTGCTGTAATCAAACCTTTTAGATGTATAAATGTCTCCATTGCTATTTTTGAAGATTCAACATTAGTGTAGAGCTCTTTGGTTGGAGGCTTCTTGATGAAAATCTTTTTCTGCCCTCAAAATAATCTTTTGCCACCCCAAAATGTTACTTCCAGCCTGAAGACACATAAGGATATTTTAAAAAAATATTTATTTTTTAAAATTAAAATTTAAATGCTTAACTGCACAGTGTAAAGACAGCCTTGTACCTCAAACTGCTTGCAAGGTACAAGCGGTTTTTTTCTTCATCTTGTTTTTTTTTTTGTCCTAGAGGGGCATACGTTTCCAGAATACTTAAGCCAACATTTTTTTTATTTTTATTATTTTTACTTTAAAAATAACTAAAATTAACCAAAGTGCTAGTTAACAGTGGTTAATAAATAGACAAATATAGGGAAAAAATTGAACAAATGAGAGAAAAACATGACATACGGAATCTCTACATAGATTAAAAAGTACATAAGAAAATACATGGTGTGAGTCATGCTCAACCTAGAAAAGCCAGACAGAATACTGTTCACACTGAGCCAGGTTCTGCTGGAGATTCTTCCAGTTGAAAGGGATTCCTTCATTCACACTGTCGTCACATGCTTGTTCAACATGAGGGATCAGATTTTTACTCAGAAAACAGATATGTGGAAAAATGTATTTTATAGAATAATCTTGACTTCTTAGACTGACAGGTTTTATTTATGTATTATTTATTTTTTGTAACAATGGCTGTTAAAACTCTTTTGGTTATGGTTTTGACAAGATTTTTGTCTTGTAAAGTTTCATGAAATTACATTATGTGAATCGGACATATACACCCAATCTGTGAAAATTTGAATTGAATCAGAAATTGCTACCAGTTGTATTTACACAGAAAAATATATTTATAATCAAATACTGATATTCAGTTAGTATGTGAGAATTTAATGATAGGAATGCTGCATGGAGTATTCTTTATGAATCATTGTTTTACATTAAACTACCAATTTATTCACTGCAGCAACATGTTCACCAACAGACAATTTTTAGTACATGTAATAATTATTCTATATGGTGGCAAACAAAACTTTACTATTAGTGTTACAGCTCTCGTTTATGCTTGGGGAAGCCATGTTGGATTTAGAAACTGAGGTTGGGAATACATTTTTAATTCAAGCTTGTAGGGTTTTTCCCCTAGAAATGTTCCAATGCTAAAGCACAACATATACTGTAAACGTTTCCTTACTTGTTCTTTAAGAGTCGTTTGGGATTCGAAAAATCCTTCTCTTTTTGATGAGGCGATCCGAATCCCAGTTAGGTCGGACTGTTTTTTTTGTGACAACCATCTGTCGCCTTCTGATGACATAGTTGGTCAGCGACCAGTTTTGTCTATTGTGTTTATGTTGATCTGTCTTCGTTTGCTACGAGAGAGGAAACTGAGTTCAGCTACAAAACATCTTCAGCCGCCTCTGGACATGGACTGGAATGCATCTTAAATATTAGTCTCCTCTCCAGACGTTCAAAATGAACAACAAAGGCTGGCTGGAGTTGGAGAGTGATCCAGGTGAGAAATATCGGTAGATATTTAGGCTAACAAACATTAGCTTCCACATGTAGCCAACTGGGCAGTGCAGCTACAAAGTAAACGTTTAGAAATGAACCTTAATGTAGAACAATAAACAACTATCATGTAAAATAAAGTTTAATATTTTGTTTTATAGCTTTTCAGTGTATATATTTGCACTTTCAACTGACTTGTTTTGTTTTTGCAGGGCTGTTTACTTTGCTGGTGGAAGATTTTGGTAAGCATTTGGTTTACAGACTAAAATTTTCACAGAGCTGCTGCAAACTGCAAACTCTTTACAAAGAAGATAAAACGAATCCTAACTTTTTAACGTTTCTTTTTGGGACTTTTCTGTAGGTGTCAAAGGCGTCCAAGTTGAGGAAATCTATGATCTGCAAAGTAAATGTCACAGGTCAGTTTGGTTGCAAAACAACAACCTTTCAGGAGTACACATTTTATATATACATATAAAAACATAGAAATGTTCATGCATTTTTTAACAGCAGTAAAAGTGTGTGTCATTTTCCTTTTCAGTCCTGTTTATGGCTTCATCTTCCTGTTTAAGTGGATTGAAGAGCGGCGGTCCAGGAGAAAAGTCAACACCTTGGTGGATGAGACCTCAGTTATAGATGAGGAAATTGTAAATGACATGTTCTTTGCTCATCAGGTAACCGTTTTATTCATGGATATAACAGTGTTTATCATTGTAGTATTATTTTATGTGTTTCTTTCAATAAGTAATTCTTGATTTTTTGTGTAGATTACTATGAATGAAAATTATACATCCATATATACATATTTAAATGAAAATTATGTATGTCAGAGTAGAACAATAACAGTTAAAGTAGTTGTAAGTTGAAGATGTTTAATGTCACGATTTGGTAGTAATTGTCAGTAAAAGAAGTTAAAGAAGTGAATCATTCATTAAAATAGTTTATACTTTTAAATAATGCTGAAGTCATGCATCCACGTTTGAAAAATCTGAATAGTTACTGTATTTTAAAATAATGGATATAAAATTCCTTTGGGTTAAAAAAGTACATGCTCTTATATGTTGATTTTTGTTAGAATTAAAAAGGCTTTTTTTTTTTTTCTAACTGTCAGACATTAATTCAAACTAAGCTTTTCCTACCATGGATAACTTCTATTTGATAAATGTCAGAAGAATAAAACAGGCATTAGGGATTCACTGGTTTATTGGCCAGCCGATTTATCAGTGCCGATATTCTTAATTTTTGGAGATCGGTGATCGGTTGATTTTTACATGTGAAACAGATCTTATCCACTGATGTTTTCAACCTCGGCAAAGGTCTAAAAATCAACCACTGTGCTTTTCTTTTCTCCTGTTAGAGAGGTCTGACTGACAAACTGGCTGACCAGATCATGTCTGCACATTTACAGTTAACACTCATCCCACTGTTGCCAATTTAGCAACTTTATTGATGTATTGAGCAACATTTCAGACATAAAAATGGTATCGGCCAAAATCAGAATCGGTAAATTAGGCCTTTTAAACGATTGATTATTGGCGATTGGCCAGAAAATTGCAGTCGGTGCATCCCTAACGGGCATAAGAAAAGTGTTTGCCAACAACAGTTGCTGTTACATTTGGAGGAAAAAGGGAGAAGCTTGTGCCTTAGAACACCATCACATCATGTTGAAGGGGCAAAATGGGCCAGTGCACTTCACCAAAAAGATTGTATTGTGTTGAAATATTTAAGCAACACTTTCCAATGACAGGCAGGCTGTTAAAGATTGTGTCCTAGTGAGTCGTGGTTAATTACTATAGTTAAACTATCAAATTATTTACAAAGTGGCTTTATAGCAACAGAGTCAATGTGCGTGGGATTCATACTAAAATGTGTAGGTACGATCAAAAGGCGGAAAACGGTCTACGCAAAAAAAAACAAAAACAAACATGAGATTCATAAATCCTTGTGATTTATAAGCAAGCAATTTACCTTTATAGATCACAGCTGTGCACTAATGTTTGGGGTTGTAACATGTAAAAAAAAATCCACTGTAAAAGCTCCTTTCTGCATGTAGATTCAAACCACCCTCTGCCCTTTGCCCCCCCCCCCAAAAAAAAAAAAAAAATAAAAATCATTCAAGATTTTTATCTGTTTGTCCTTTTCTAGCTGATACCAAACTCATGTGCCACTCATGCCTTGCTGAGTGTTCTTCTGAACTGCAGTGGAGTCGAACTCGGCACCACCCTCAGTCGCATTAAGGCTTTTACTAAAGGCTTCAGTCCTGAGGTAAGTTATCCCTCCACTCAACTGCTAACTTCTGCTTTCAAAGGATTTGTTTTCCACATGTTTTACAAAAAATTTAGCTGTAAAATATTGTAATTCTTACAGCTAAATAAAATAGCATGGCTTTTCGTATGAGTGTTACTAAAATATACATTAAAACAATACACAATATTAATTATGGTATTCTATCATTTTGTAGCATAAACCCAGAGGTGAGAAATTACACCCAAGTAAGAGTAGAGCTACTTCACTATGTGTTTACTCAAGTAGAAGTAAAAAGTGATCATCTAAATCATTACCTAAAAAAGTATTTGGTAAAATGCAACTATAATAGTTTTGCTTGATCTGAACACAAAATATTCATAGACAGATAGAAAATTCTGTGCTGGTTCTGGTATTTAGAATAATAATAAAAAAATGTAAATAAATTACATAATTACAAAATAATTTTCCACAATAAAGAACGTTTTAAACCCTTGCTTACAGTGGGTAAAATATAAATGCTAGAACTGTGCAGAGTACTTCCAGTGACTATATCTGCTGTATATTCACCTGGCCTCCAAGTGGCACAACAGGCTCAGCAAATAGAAAAAAGTAGAACAATACTTTTTCTACCTGCTGAGAAAACAGCAGATAGACTGGTGTACAAACTATAAGTCTCACCAGACATGTGTATTTTTGGTTAAAATGTGTTTGTTCGTCTTTCTGTGGAGTAACTTGAGGTTGGTAGAGTAGCCAGAAATTGTACTCAGGTAAACATAGCACTTCTGCAAAATATTTCTCAAGTAGAAGTTAAAAAATACAATGCATCAATACTACTCCTTTTTTTTTTTTAATGATACTTAAGTAAATGTTTTGTGTGAAACTATTTTTAGCTACAATTGTTCAGTTTAAGTGTTTCCTTTTCTTTCAACATATTCTGTATTTTCT